CTTTCCAAGAGGTCATCCATCCTAGAATTTCTTCGGGATGAGCGCGCTTAACTACATAGTTTCTTAATAAAATTCCAACAATTACACCAAAAGGTGCATTGATGTTTAAAATTTTAGTTTCTTTTCACTTAAAAGGTTTAATAATCTCCCCCATTTAAGTAATTGACATTCTTGTCAGTATCCTTATCTCAGAATCATCCACAGAAAGATGAGATTCTAAAGGTGGCACCTACAAGTTCAAGTTGTGATTCTCGCCATGTAGCACTTTGTCCCAAACATGATTCAAAAGTTGGTGACTCCCATGGCATATCACTTTCTTTTGTAAGACACTTAGTTTCAATCTTCCAGTTGGTGTATTGCTTTGATATCATTTGTAATAGTTCAAACTCTTAACTATTGAGATATTGTCTGCTTTGGCTTAAAGGCATCACGATTTTGTTCTATTTGTGTAACTTCCTAGGTGGTCACCCATCCCAAGATTTTTTTGAGATTAGCATGCTTAACTACGGAGTAATTTCTTAATAAAATTCTGACCATTATATTACACTAAAAGCCGTCTTGGTGTTTAAGAATTTAGCTTCTTTTTACTGAAAGGATTTCATAAGATCAGAATAATAAGGAGCAAGAGGGCTAGCAAGAGGGAGCAAAAATTATAGAGGATAAGATTTATGAATAACAAAATGAGGAATAGTGGACCTATCATCCACTATATGTGTATTTGTGATGTCATTAATTGAATCACAATTTCGTCGCAATAACGAATAATTTTTACTCCTTCCACCAATTATTTTGATGGAACTAATATCCTTCTCAAATATATAGCAAATTTTCTTCATATTTATAATAAAAAATTCATTGTTAAAAGAATTGCATTATTGCAATTGCAATGAAAAATACCACAAGTTATAAAATCTCCACAACTTTGCATTTGTTATTTGTGATAAACATTTTTCATCATAAGATTAAATCTTTTGTAAGAACACAATGCAATTTGTAAGTTCATTACAAAAGTGTGAAGAGCAACTATCTGTCACCAAAAAAAAAAAAAAAATCATCACAAATTTGTTATTTTCTAGTAATGACAGAGCTATATATGCAAGGGATTGGTGGTGGCAAGAAAAGGAGCAGTGGCACTCAACCTGGTGGCATACAGAGGTCAATGAAGGAGGTATTGGGATGAGTAGAAACATATTAATGGCTAGGGCTAATAAGTTTATCACAACTATTTGAAGGGGTTATTTGGTTGAATGTTTTTAAAATACATCACAAAAATATAGTGAACTAGAAAGTACTTTGAATTTAAAGAGTTGTTTGTTTATTTATAAATCAAAGATGTTGAATTTCTTAAGGATATATTTCAAAAAAAAAAAAAAAAACTATATATTTCTTATTTCAAAGCATGTAGGAGCTCTTGTGAGAATGCAAACTATATGAAAGGCTTAGAGGAGCTCATGAGCGATGGCGGTCGAGGGAGACAATGCAAGGGGTGAGGCTAAGGCTTCTTTTGAGACGGTTTTTTTATTGTTTTTTGAAGCAGCTTTTTAGTACACAAATTTTAATTTTTTAATTAAAAAATGATTCAAGAAGCAGTAAGAAAATCGCTCAAATGCTTTGTTTGGGACAACATTATTATTATTTCTTAAAACAGCTTCTAAGTACAAAAAATCAAATTTTGTACTAAGAAGCTGCTTTAAGAAGCAGAAAGAAAGCTGTCCCAAATGAAATCTAAGTATGATGATGAGTGGTTTGCAGTAGTAGGTCAAATGAGAGAAAAGACATTTGAGGGAAGTGAGTCGGAAGTCCCTTATGACGAATATAGCAACACGCAAAGAGGTGTCGGAAGGGGGCGATGCTAGTTGATTTAGACTTTGGCACGAATTTTGAAAATCGGATTACTAGAGTGATTTTGAAATGGATTAAATTTTTTAGGGATTTGGATGTATTTCTAAATCAAAAGTCAAAATTAGTCAAAAGCATGCGCAACAAATATGAACACTAGCAACTAAATAGCCCCAAATATTTCAAATCATAATGAGAAGTCTATTTTGTTGTGCACTCTAAATATATTCAACTATATGGTTATTTACAATTATAAGAGTATATATATTTGGGTGGTGCTCCACAAAAGAAAAAAAAAAAAAAACAAATCTAAATTAAAATCGGCCAAAATTGAAGTCAGTGTCATAGTTTAAAATTTTATTTGGCTTTTATACATAATAACAAAGCATATCCTCACAAGTAAAGAAATATAACAAACTTTGTACTGTTCTTTGTAAAATAGAAAGAGAATACCAAAAGGTATAGAATGTAGACCTGGACGTGGTAATCGGCATCAGGACAGAGTTCTACTCATAAAATTGAGTTTTGAAGTCTCTTCTGAGTCAACTTTCCTAATAGTTTTTTTAACTATTTTTTAAAATATTTTTTTAGCATAAAATTTTTTTGAAATATAATATTTTTACTAGATCTATTTTAGAAAGCTGTACCAAACGAAATCTTTATTTGAAAAAAGTTTCTTATTGCTTTGCTTTTCAGATCATAATCATTTTTTATATTTGATCACTATTTTTTCACTATTTCAAAAAAAAATTGTGCAAATAGCTTTTCAGCAATTTTCAAAAAAATTATTTTATCTACAACAATTTTATAACCACCTTTTATAAAATGTTTTATCTGTCCCAAAGAGGACAAATTATTCTGTGCGGAGACCGGACGTAGAACGCCGTCCGGAGACCAACTAGAATGCGCTACGTCAGCGGTACTAAGCACAGGAGTAACGTGGCGCATTCTGGTTGGCCTCTGGATGACGTTCGGCATTCTCAGGTATATTTTTTTTCCTTTTTTTTATGAATTGATTATGTATATTTGTTTAAGTATAATTGACCTCATGTATTATATATATATATATCTATAACTTGGCTTATACTCTAAGTCTAATTAATATTTTTTAAGAAAAAATAAAATTATAATGTTCTTTTTTCAATTATAATTATATATGTTCAGCTTATTTTGTTACAAAAAATAATTGTTCCACTAAGCTTTAACAAAAAATAATTAATCATCATAAAATGATCAAAATTATTATAAACATGTTGAAAATAAATAAAAAATATCTAAAACAATTATTTTTAATGACGTCCTAACTGCATGAGCTATAGTGTGCATATTGTTAAATAGAACATCATAAAAAGATAATCCAATGAGCTCAAGATCGTTCAATTATGAGGTCATCAAGACACTTAAATGTTGAAAGAATGATATATCATATATGATCAAATGGTTTAATATAAGTCATATGGTGGAGGATTATACAATTATGATCAAATTTACTAGAATGAGAATCTTACAAATTATAAATAAAGCATTACTCTCCGCATAAAACAGACTTGAATGTTAGTTTGAACAGTGCTTGAAGATTTGAATGACTCTAGAGCTCTACTTGATATTTAACATCAAGAATCACTACCATTACTGTTTATGTCCAACCACCATCATTTGACCCTCATTGATCAATCTTCATCTTTTGACAACTTTTGCAAGCTTGTAATAGTACATTCATCATTGTCCACAGGGGCGGAATCACTGTAGCGACAGGGGGGGCAATTGCCCCCCCTGAAAAAATGTAAAATCCCTTTAAATGTAAGGGCTGTTAGGTAATTTGCCCTTCAATAGGTTAAAATTTGCCCTAATATCAGATTTTTCTGCACGTTTGCCCCGCCGAACGAAAAAATAACGCGAACCGAACGAACGCGCTCTGCTGTCTGCTCCGAACGAACGCGATTCCGCCCCTGGCTCCGAACGAACGCGATCGCCCTCTCCATCTCCATCTCAGGCTGTTTTGATTTTTGGTTCTTGAAGCTTGAATCGGAGGAGGCGACCGGAAAGGACTTCATTTTCTGGTAAGTTTTCTTCGACATTTTTTTCGTTCTTCCGCCCATTTGGTTGATTCTTTCGCTGATTACGCGCTCCGCTGTCTGCTCCGAACGAACGCGATTCCGCCCCTGGCTCCGAACGAACGCGATCGCCATCTCCATCTCCATCTCCAGCTGTTTTGATTTTTGGTTCTTGAAGCTTGAATCGGAGGAGGCGACCGGAATTCGGAAAGGACTTCATTTTCTGGTCAGTTTTCTTCGACATTTTTTTCGTTCTTCCGCCCATTTGTTTGATTCTTTCGCTGATTTCGCGCTTCTTCGACCAAAATTTTTTGATTCTACATAACCTAGAAACAACTAAATAAGAGTATCTCACAGATTATAGAACGGTAAAAAGAAAAGGAATCCAAACGGTATTTTTTTCTCAGTTATGTATCAGAAGCAAAAAAAACTGTGAATTACACTTTAATGGTTAAATTTTCTCATTTATATTGTGTCTAGCTATAGAGAAATCATTGGGCTGTTTAGTTCAGCATTGTTCAGAACTTCAGATGTTTTCTGAAGAGTCCTAGTTTTGATATGTTTTCTGAAGAGTCCTAGTTGATATGTTTTCTGAAGAGTCCTAGTTGTGAAAGCTTTCTCATCTATATTTGTTCATCTATATTTGTTCATAGCTTTGATATGTTTTCTGAAGAGTCCTAGTTGTGAAAGCTTTCATCCATGTTAATTCATTATCTAAGTCATGATATTTCTATAAATGGGCATTTAGTTAATAAAATAAGCATAGCATAGTTTTTGTTATGATGTAAATATTTTAATTGACGGTTGCTTTTTCTTGTTAATAAATTTCATTTTAGGGTTACATAATGGAGCGTTATTTAAAGAGAAAAGAGCGAGTAGAATTTGATATTAATAATCTACCATCAGATCCAGGACTCCGACTTCCTATTTGGAGTTATGATGTTAATGATAGAGATAAGATTCGAAGATCTTATCTACTGAAGGGACCTCATCAACCGAGAATTCATCAATTTCCTCAAACTTTATATGGAAATATTGCACGTAGGTTCAACAAAAGTCCAGAAAGAAATATGTATTGCTGCATCAGCTGAAACTTTAAGATATATCATGAAAGATATTGGTAACTCGTACTTCTCAATTATAGTTGATGAATCCCGTGATGTTTCTACAAAGGAACAACTTGCTATTGCTGTGAGATATGTAGATAAGTTGGGCCAAGTGATTGAAAGATTTATAGGTATCAAACATGTCACATCCACTAATGCAGTTACACTAAAGGCAGCCATTGAAGACATTCTAGCTAAACACTCTTTGAGCATACAAATGATACGTGGTCAAGGTTATGATGGGGCATCCAATATGCGAGGGGAATTTCATGGTTTAAAGGCCCTTATTTTAAATGATAATCCTCAAGCATTTTATGTTCACTGTTTCGCTCATCAACTCCAATTATGTTTGGTAGCAGTGGCAAAGAATCACTGGCAAGTAAAGCATCTCTTTGAGTTCACTTCTAGAATTATTAATACTATTGGAGCTTCCTGTAAGAGATCTGATACTCTTAAGAGTATTCAGCATGATAAAGTCCTTCTTCATCTTAAAAATGGCAATCTCATAAGTGGAAAAGGTTTGAATCAAGAGACTAATTTACAAAAATCTAGTGATACTCGTTGGAGTTCGCATTTTCATTCTTTGATTAGTCTCATGCGTATGTATGCTTCTGTGATTGAGGTCCTAGAGATTGTTAAGGAAGAAGGGGTTCATGATCAGCAATCGGTTGAAGCGGGTGTTCTGATTGATATAATGGAATCTTTTGATTTTATTTTTACAATGCATTTGATGATTGATATATTGGGCATTACGAATGAGTTATCGCAATCATTACAAAGAAAAGATCAAGACATTGAAAATGCGATGAAATTGGTTCAAGTATCTAAACAACGACTGCAACTACTAAGGGAGAATGGATGGAATGCTTTACTAGCCGAAGTGACATGTTTTTGTGGTGTTTTTGAAGTTGTTGTTCCAAACATGAATGAAACATATAGAACTCGCCGTCGAGCAGTGCGAAGAGGTGAAGAAATAACAAATCTACATCATTATCGTGCAGATTTATTTTATACTGTAGTTGACATGAAACTTCAAGAGCTAAATAATCGATTTTCTGAATCTAGTACTGAGTTACTACTTTGTGTGTCATGCTTAAACCCAAGTGATTCATTTCATGCTTATGATGAGGGGAAGTTGATATGTCTAGCAGAGTTATATCCAAGTGATTTTTCTATAATTGAAGTTGTTGCTCTTAAAAGTCAATTATCAACTTATATTATTGATATGCAGACCAGTGAAGAGTTCTCCTCTCTTAGAAGTATTGTTGATCTTGCAAAGCAGATTGTTAAGTTCAAGAAGAATGATGTGTATCCTCTAGTTTACAGACTTATTACTTTAGCATTAACTTTACCAGTTGCTACTGCTACAGTGGAGAGAGCATTTTCATCAATGAAAATTATCAAACATCGTTTGCGTAGTAGGATGGGTGATGATTGGCTCAACGATTGTCTTGTGCCTTACATTGAAAAAGATGTATTTGATTTGATTCCCAATGAAGATGTAATCCAATATTATCAAAAAATGCAAAATAGATTGATAAAATTGTAATGATTTACAACTTTTACATCATATTGGAATACAAGATTTCACTTTGAATTATGTCCACATTTTTGTTTTTTATTTTTTTAATATTTTTCTATTAATAAGAAAATTTTGCCCCCCCTACAATGAAAGGCTGGTTCCGCCCCTGATTGTCCACCATCACACGACCACCATTATCTGCCATTATTGTCTGACCACCGTCATTATCCTTCCCTTCTTAAGCAAGCCATATTATAATTACATAAGACTAAAATCAAATTCATTATGTTACAATCATGTCTTTCCAACTAAGAGAAGTGGACCTCTATAATTTTGATGAATCATTTCATCTGGGTAGGCCCTATGTTTTTTTTTTTTTTTGCTTCCTGAAGTTTCTTGAAAAAACTCTGGTGTGTTATGTGTTTATCTTTTTTATATGTGTATGTGTGTGCATAATCTTCATGCAAAATTTAGATGTATAATTATCTCTCTATTTCCGTGAATTTTCCAGCACACTATAAATGGTGTCATTTGTGGGAAATATGATTTTAAGTTGGGCCGGGGTCCAACCCTTGCTATATCTCCAAAGGTCATTCACATCAATATCATATGTATAATTTTTATGAATAAGTCCTTTAGCTTTTTATTACTTTGGGTTTAGTATTGAAACAAGAAAGTCAAAATTAGGGAGCAACTCCAATTATAACTCAAATGGACAATGTCTTATATATTATTATAGTCAAAAAATGTCTCTCTTATGTCATCTATTGTTGCATCAGTTCTATAAGAAGCAGGTTAGGACAGAGAGCAATCATAGTTTTAACATTTAAGGCACATTCATCTTAACTCCTAAGCATGATTATAACTGTTAAGTCCTTCCGTCCATCCTTTTTCTTTGTATCCAAACTATCATGTTAATACTTATTATTATGCTAAAAACCCAAAAACACTGGACCTTTTTCAAATGAATTGAAACTAAGAATTTCAAATCAAGGATTTAAGTTGCGTAGAAAGACCTAATATTTCAATGTTATAAATACGCACTTGCAAATAACCTGAATTAAAAGACTAAAAGTTAAAGTTTGCGAAATAAACTTTCCTACAATTAGAACAATATAATAAAGCTTTAGTGCAATCAATGTTGAGACAATTAAAGAACTAATTTGAATTCTTTGATCACAATTTATTAAATCAGTAAGCTAATTACTTATTTTAGAATTAATTAGTTAGTCATTTGCACCAAACACTAAACAAGAATATCTAAGGAGAACTTGCAAATACATAAAAATAAATCCTAACCCTAAATTTTTATCAAGCAAGGATAGATTATTAACCACACTCTTTTATACTTTCATTAATTTGCACAAGTTATTACAAGAACATTAGCAAGTTGTAGATCGAGATTAACCTTAAAAATATACATTTCTTAAAAGAAATTAGTTAGGAATAATATGAGTACTCCATCAACTTGTGACGATAATATTGAGAATTTTGATCTCCTTTTCTCAAAATTCTGTAAGTCAATATAGAATAATCTATCTCCTCCACTGAGTTCCATTCTGTATGGTGACATATTTTGACTCTATTTTCTTCTCTATCATTTCATCATCATAAAGGATGCCTCCTTTTCTTGCCTGGATTTATATTCTCCACCTGATTTTTCGTTTTATAGATCAATATATCCAGCAGCTCATCATCAAAGCAACTCAAAGCTTACTGTTTTGGTCTTTTTTCTTCCCTATCGCTGTTTTTGATCTTTCTACTATTCTGTAGTGGTTCTATCTGTTAGCTTTTTTTAATTCTTTGTGCTGTTTGTACTTCTGTTTAGCAACTATTGCCTCGCTCTAGTTACTTCTAATTTTGTAATGTTGTAGGCAATCAACTCCATTCAGTAGCTTCCCAACAGCTTTTCAGAAACAAAAATAGTGCCAGATTTCTCTTCCATTCATTGATTTCACATTCTTGCCTTCTAGTGGTGGAATCTGGAAGAGCTTAAGAAAGGTAATTGCACATTATGAAACTTTTTTATAAAGAAAAATAAGCAATTTAACTTATTTGTCCACCTTCAATAAATGTAGTTGTCTCGAAAATTTAAAAAAAAAAATTTCTTTTCTATTATATATATATATATATACAATTTTTCAACAAAAAAAAAATCTTATATAAGATTATGTATTCAACAATCATATTTTGCCCACCCTCAAAAGAGAAGTTAATTTCGCCCCTGCTGATGGAGAGATTATTTTGTGCGGACGCCGAACGCAGTTCACCATCTTGAGACTAACCAGATTGGCCACGTCAGCGGTATCGAGCCGCGGTACCGAGCAATACCGAGCCGGGTACCAAGCATGGGGGTGATGTGGCGTATTCTGGTTGGTCTCGGGACGGTATTCGGCGTCTTCCCGGACAGCGTTAGGCGTCCGCCCGGACAGCATTCGGCGTCTGCACAGAATAATTTCACCTCCAAATGCCGTCTGTTTTCCCTCCTCAAAAACATATTAATACTATTCATGACCTCATTCTTCCTCCACCAACAAAAAGAAAAATTCATTAATATAGCATAAATCTCTGTATGTGCAAAAACAAAAGAAAGCAAAGCAATATAGTAACATTTAACCCAACAAAAAATTCAACATCAAACTAATACAAATTACCAACAACACATGATTCAAAAAATATATATCTTCTATTCTCACTGCTTATTTATCATTCATTCACAAAAGAATGATAAGAGGCTAATTCCGAAAAAAAAAAAAGAAAGAAAGAATGAAGAATCAAATATTAAGATGCAACAGCACTTAGCAACTTTTTTTTTTAGTTGAAACCCACAAAGGGGCCTACGCGTTAATATAAATAAAAATTTACAGGTCCTTAAGGGGTAAATCAGCCCACTAATGCTCGGAGAGCTACAATCATTAAAAGAAAAGAAACAAAACTTAAGAGCCAATAAACCCCATCTAAACAAAATACAAAATACCCTAAATACATTCTAAGGCGGCACAAAAGAAGCGCCCAAAAAATAAAAAGCTCCAAAATAAAACATTCAGCACAAGCTTTAAGTCCAAAAAAAACTCCTCCAGGTTAAGGATAACCTGCAAAAAAATTCACAACCAAAATTGAAACAAAATAAACAGCCAAAAGATTAGAACTTACCGGTCATCCACTAAATAAATCCTGCATATTTCATCCATAATAACCCTGCAACCATAGACTGGCACATCAGAGATCCCCTGAAAAAATCCAGCTTTGTCCATCCCAAACAGCACCGAAAACTTGCGAAGGTATTCCAACCAGCAGCACCAGAAACCAAAACAACCAAAATTAGAACAAAGGGAATAAAAAAACACATAAACCTCAGGTAGTAGGTAGCCCCCAGTACCAACAAAACCAGCAAATGCACAAGAAAGAGAAAGTAGTGAAACCAAGGCCAAGAAGATGGAAATTCAAGCCGAACGGATATAAGGTAAACCCAGTTTATCAAGCCTAACTAAACTACAAAGAAAAGGAGGCAGATTAGGCTCACCAAATTCCTCCACGACATTAATCTGGCAATCCTTCTTGGCCAACCAATCAGCACAAACATTACCCTCCACTTAATTAGCACAAGCACTTTATCCATTAAAAAAAATGTATTCAGACCACACTGATTCCCAATGCACATATCAAATTCTGCATGTAGTTATGCATTAGATGATATACACTGTTTGAGTTTTCTTACATGTATTTTTTATAAGAGTTAAATGGTGTCTGTGCGCAAATCCCTCAAGAACAATCACATGAGTGAAAGGGTCATAGACCAATGATTAGAGGAGAGGATTTATTTCTTTAAAATCATATATTTGGGCCACATAGTTTGAAATTTATAACTCAATATTTAGAATAACTATAATATATATTTATGATCTATTTGAGATGGCTACAGTTTTTTAGAAAGCTGGTTGTGAAGATTTTTGTGGGGGAAATAATTTTGTTATTCTGATTGTAAAAAAGACGGCTTTCTAGTTCAAAAAAATTAATGTTTGTACTAGAAAAAGCCGCTTTAAGAAACAAGAAAAAAGCCGTCCCAACGAAACCTTAATCTTTAACAGCAACGCTCAATTGGGAAGAAAGAGTTGATCACAGTACTGAAGAGAAGAAGTGATATTGGTTCGGCTCAAGCCTCAGCAGAAACTCAGAAAGCGTTGGTGCTGACAACGCCACACCGTTTCTGAACGCGGCCTGAGCGAACCAATACCATTCATCTCTCCATCTGCAGCTCCGAGCCATAAAACTCTCTCTCTCTCTCTCTCTCTGTCTGTCAACTCTTTCTTCCTCCAGTTTGTAAGCTCTTAGGAGAAGCTCGTCGCTTTAAATAGACATTGTTGCAAAGTATATTCACTTTGATAGAAACGATATCGGATTTGTTTGAAAATATTGTTCGGAGTTTTTTATGTTTCCAACGACGACGACTCTCTCATGAAACTTGAATCTTTAAACTCTTTTATTGATTATAAATATTCCAAAAAATAAAATTTATGATTTTATTTAATTTGAATGTTTCTCTATTACTTGACTCCGAAGCCATTAAAAATCTTTTTCTCTAATCAATATTTTGATTACGTTTTTATTATGTTGAATTAGTGAATTGCTTATCTATCTATATAATTTTTTATAATCTTCCAACGACTATGACCTGATTTTTAAATGTACGCTAAGTTGATTTGTAACAAATCAACGGTTAATTAATTATTAATGAACAAAAATTTGTATTTTTCTTTTTCCTGAAGATTATTATTTTTTATGAAGTTTGATATTATCGGTGCTTTACACTAACTTTTATTTAATAATTAAGGCTTTGTTTGAGAAAACTTTTATATTATTTTGTTTTGTAGATCAATTTTTTTTTAAGATGGAAATCATAATTTTTGTTTGACTATCATTTTTTTTGTTGTTTTCAAAAAAAAATTTGTGGTAGTAAGCTGTTTTGTACAACTTCTTAAAAAGTTATTTTTCTCCACAACAACTTAATAAACCTATTTACAATACAC